CAATATCTTGCCAGATATTTACTCCCGGTGACGAAGTTCCCTCGCCTAACCTCTTTCGAAGTTTGGCTTGTTTCCTAAGTCGTTTCGCGGTTCGTTCGATTTCTAAGTCTAATGATAAAGGTGAATCTGCACGAGAAGATCTTGGCATACAAGGTTAAATGCACCGAGTCCCCGGCAGCGGCGCCAAAAATTTGACGAATGTCGAGACCGGCAAATAATAAAGTCCAAACTAACGCACAATTTTACAACCAAAATTGTAAAAGTGGTAAGTCGGGTCGAATCCACAAGGACTCGGCTTTAACTCTTTAGGACTAGATAATCAAGTACAAAAATGAAACTTTAAAATTAAATACGAGGGGGGGGGGTTTGTTTGTGCAAAAAGGATTTGAACATAAGAAACGTAGAATAAACTTAAACAATCAAAATAAAAAGAAACTCAACTTCAGGTTACAAATGCAATTTTTATTCATAGGTTGTTATCATTGACAATGTAAATAAATATCGCTTCTACTTCGATTAACCCAATTTATTTGTTAAAAAGCTCTAACAAACAATTCCAACATACATGGCATTTGAGATGAACAAGCTCTCCTATCAAACCTTAATATGCAATTAGTCTCAAACAAGCTCTTGAAGACTTAATTGATACTAGCATTAAGATTAAATGGAACCCAGATCCGGGTAAATTAACACATAAGCTCGGTTAATTTTATCGTACCGTTTCACCCAATTTCACAACAAAAGTAGAAATCTTTGACAAAACCCACCTTGTTATGTGTCACTAACACTAGTTTACTAAACAATTACGGATTTAGAAAACTAATTTGACTACAATCGATTTCAACACAATTGATCAGAAAGTGTGAAACTCAATTTTATAAACCACAAACACARAAATTGGATAAATAATCAAAGCTAGATGGAAATACATCATCTCAAACAACCATATGAATTAGAAGTTGCAAATGCTAAATAACCCAAAATTGAATCCTAAAGGAATTAGCCACACATGGCTAAACCTAGATTACGAAAATTCTAAGGGTTTTTGGACTTACCGAAAAGATGATGAAAGTTGCTGTCTTCACGGTCACATCCCTCTTCTTCAATCGAACCAGCAGCCGTCTCTCTCCCTCTTGAACAAACGAACAGCCCCCTGCTGTCCTCTCTCGCCTCTATTGCCTCTCGTGACAGCCCCCAATCCAATCCCCCTTATTTCTCCCAATCGGCAGCCCCTTTATCGCCTATCCGCTGCCTCTTCTCCAATTTTCTGTCCACGTTCGCTCCCACCTTCGAACCCCACGTCTCTCTCTCCCGTTCTGATTTTTTTTTTCCGCTCCCCATCTCTCGCTGCTGGTCTTGGGCAGCAGCCAAGGGCTGCTGCTGTTGGACTGCTCTTGTTAGTGGGCTGTTGGGCCGGTGATGCTGATGGGCTTTGATTTTGGGCTGCATATAATAAACCAATCCACAATTATAATGGATCTTAAGGTTTATATATATTTAAAACAGAAACGACCCAAATCACGAATAATAGATAAGTGTTGTATTATTTTAGAAAAACTCACTAATTTCCGGGTAATTTGATGATAAAAAATATAATAATTTAAGCATTTATCAAGCGTCGTTCAACTGAAAACTCTTCATTAATTCATTTCCATACCTTTTTTGAGAGATGACTCTCTCATTATTTTCTTGTCTTACTTCGATACCAAGAAAATAGTGAAGTAAACCCCTATCAGTCATCACAAATTCTTGCTTCATTGCATGTTTAAACTCTTCACCCATGCTTATGCAATTCTCGATGAATATAAGATCATCAACATGAAGACATACAAATAGAAATTTACCTTTGCTTTGTTTGATGTAGAGAGTATGCTCATATGGACACCTTTTGAAACCTTCCTTCAAAAATACGTATAGCTCCGACTATACCAAGTCCGAGATGCTTGTTTTAATCCATATAACGACACTTTATTTTATGCACCTTCTTTTACGTAGCCGGGAGGTTGTTCGATATACACTTCTTCTTCTAGTACACCATATAAAAATGATGATTTTACATCCATTTTGAGTCGCCAATACCAATATAAGTCGTATAGTTTCAAGACGAATAACCGGAGCAAACACTTCATTATAGTCGAGTCCATATTTTTGCTTGTAACCTATGACTAATCGAGCTTTATGTTTATCAACATCTCCTTTTTCATTCAAGTTTGTCTTATAAACCCATTTTACACCAATTGGTCGGTGTCCATTTGGAATTTCTATGAGTTCCCATGTTTGATTCTTCATTATTGAATGAATCGCTTGTGAATCAACAAATTCATTATTGAATGAATCTCTTGCATAAAGGAAGCTATTCATAGCAGTAAGTGGAAAGTTGCATAAAGGAAGATACCATTTTCCTTTAAGAATTTCTGAATTTCATGAGAATTGTACTTCCCGCCACGATCAGAACGTAATGACTTCAAGGGAAAACCGCTTTGTTTTTCGACTAATGCTCTAAACTCTTTGAAGTAAACCACAAGAGTGGTGTCTGATTGGTTTGAGCTTGGCTCCAAAGGTCAAAAGTACCAGGAGGTCCCATGTTCAAATCCAAGGAGGCAAAAAAATCATCTTGTGGCTACGGAGGTTCAAATGCGGTGACTCCGGGCTATTTGCAAAGCATGTGGTCGTCCTGGGATTAGTCGGCTCGCATAGCGGGTTGGATATCCAGGTTAATAAAAAAAAAACTCTTTGAAGTAGCAAAGCATTTATGATTTTTCTTTCAAGAAATACACCCAAGTATTTCTTGAATAATCATCAATAAATGTTAAAGCATATTGATAAGTGTTAATTTATTAACATTATTACATCATTTTCTTAATCATTTTCATTTGTTTTATCTGCAATTTAATTTCTACAAATTACTTTTCCGCATCAGTTATTTATTTTTCAGTCTTTACATCCTTTGCGAAAAGAAACCAATCGATGATGGGCTAAACGCCTTAGCTTGGAGTGTAAGGGAAAATTAAGACCAAAGTCGATGTGAAAGTACATAGGTGTCTTATTAGCATTATAGTGTAACTATTTGTTTCAGGTGATTATTGGTGGGGGTTCGGTCCGTTAGCTGGTATTTGTTTAGTCATTCAGATAGTGACTGGCGTTTTTTAGCTATGTATTAATATTTCATTGAATATTACATTAAAATTAATTGACAACTAGTTTGATATATGAAAATGCATTAACTATCAGAGTTAATATAAATAATAAAACCTGAGGTAATAGGAGAAGGCTATTAATAGCTTTAGTATCTGACAAGTACTATACCCCTACGGTGTAGGATGGTAACACTGTGTTGTGCTAGGATTCACGAAGTTTAACATAAATGATATCGTATCGATAGCACATTGGCCAGTGTGTACTCTTGGGAGGCCGTCTGACCCGATAGTTGATACTGTGACTGTTATATAAAATCATTATGTGATTTTATATAATTGTGACAGGAATGCTATGTCACCTTTTTTGTTGAATCATCTGTTTAGTGTATTAATCAACCTTTGCACCTTGTGCTTCTTTTTACAACTGATATTTTCTTAGTTGCTAATCAAACCTCCCAATTTTAGATAAAACAAATCCCTCATTTCGTCATTGAAATTAATTTTTATAGACCGGACTTTTGAATAACTTTACAAAGTTTTCTCTGTGGAAACGATATCTGGTACTTATACCATTATTACTTGTTACAAGACGATAGTAATTCACGGTGTATATTTTTATGTTGAAATCTAAGGTTGCATAAACCGAGCGAGCATATATCAACTGCCTCCAATAGATGTTGTCCTCATCCGTCCACATATATATATATGTAAAAGCTCCAAGAGATTTGATGCCCTCCATACTTTTCCACTAAGAAAAGATTCTCTAATATGTTTCCCAAAAACATATCCTTCACAAATTCTTTCTTGTTGGTTAATAAATGGCAAACCACGTACCATATTTGTTTTGCACATGTGTATTAAAGATTGAAAATTTAAATGCCCGTATCGGAAATGCCATAACCATGACTTGCCTTTGACAATACTAGTAAAACATGGTAAAGCATCACGTAGAAAATTTGAATGGAAACATCTTATTTCGAGTCATATGTACCTTTCCAAGGAGAGTGTCATCCGTGTCTTTCATCCTTAGCAAATCGAATTCACAACAAAGGTTTTGCAATTGAACAATCTTTACACGTTCTTCACCTCTATAGGACACGAAAAGAGTGTCCCATGTCTCTTTTGCTGAACTTCTTGTTGAAATACGTTCAAACACGATGTCTTCAACAAATTGCATCTTTAATACACCAACATTTACAGGACTTTCAACTCCGTTCTCGATTATATTCCATAGATCTTGAGACTCATACAACACTTTCATCATTGTGCTCCGCTGGTGATAATTTTTTCCATTGAAACGTGGAAGATGGGGCTGTATATTGTTGTTATTCATGGTGGTCATTTTCTGTCCAAATGAGATGTACTTTTTCTATAGTTTTCTTGAACCTTGCTCTTATACCAATTTGATGGATATTGAAAAACAAATTTGCTATTGATTGTAGCAAGAATTTGGACAGAAAAACAATGGAAAAGATTGCAGAAAATGGAACTTTGTTTATTACGTTTCTGCAGTGTTTTAGGAGGGAATTTTTCTACATATTACATTGACCAAATACGTCTATATATACAAGACATATATGACAGTTAATAGACAGAAACAAACTGTCATAAAAACTGTTAATCCACAATAACTAACTGCACTATTTATTTTCTGAAATTATAACTTATAAAATTAACAATACAAGCTAATTACATTTCTAATAAGAGATTTTGTACGTGGAGCCAAACACTATCGAAAAAGCAATATAAGATTTTGACACATAAACTTTGATACAAAGAACAAAATATATATATATATATATATATATATATATATATAATTGATTGAATTCATTCTTGCTTTCGTCTATCATGATGTGTTTCTTTGAAAGAAAATGGCAAGTATTTAGAATCATAACAAATTACAGTGGTTATCGTACATTAGAGTTTTATGTTGTTTATTATAAGTTCTATTAAAGATTAAAATGCACTCGGCTCGGTGATGATATTTAGGACTAATTAGCTTCCCAACGACGTGAAATCTTGACCTAAGTTTCACATGAACAACCAAAGACAACCCCTTTCCGGAGTCTAAAATGTCTTGCATACTTCTTCCCGCACCATACATAGGCTTATTTGTTGTCCCCAGGTATAACAAGAAAGACGTTGGTCCATTAGTTGATGCATAGAGTGCGCGTGTTTCCTGCAAATGCAAATTTTACCCGGTCATGGTTAATGTGTAGTTGTGGTGATTTGGCTTTAAAAGTTGAACTTGTATTAGTTCCATTTATAATTATGATACATTATTTGACACTCTTAACTCAATTCTTGAAATCTTTTATGGGGTTTCCATAAGAACTTAAATAGATTCATCCTGTTTGACGACATTTAACGTTAAACTATACAATGGTAACTAAAGGATCCAGATCAACTTACCAACGAAGTTGCCAAAGGGATATTATTGAACGATAAAGTCAGAACCATAGGATGAATGTGAAGACCATAAAGGTTAGACTTGATGTTTACGTGTAGATTTATGGAACAATTACAAGTGAGGAATTTGGTAGTGACACCCGTGTTATCCACTCCTTCCGCTAGCTGAAACTCGCTCATTCTTTCAACCTATAATCACACGAACAATCAAATTATCAATCGAACTCTTTAAATTGTCCTGAATAATTGCAACAAGCTCTTGATGAGATGACTATTTGTACATACGTAGATATTTTAAGAACAATTGTCTTTAGAAGTTTTCATAAACTCAATTAAATAATAAATTGATCAAGTAAAAACTAAAACGACACAGTTTATTTTTGATTAAGAAAACTCAGAATGAATTAAAAACTCGTCATTTATCATTTCAATATCATAGATATGATCACCTTGTTGAAAAATTTAGATTACACTATTTATATTCTTGCTCTAGTTTCTGAAACAGTTTTTCTTTATTCATTGACGATAGATTTTGGTATTTAAGGAACTCAGTATCATAAAAGTTATCAATAAAATGTAATATTCCTACAAAAACGATTAATGTTTTGTTTTCTAAGTACAATTTTGTTTATACTTTATATATATATATATATATATATATATGTATATATATGTATGTATGTATGTATGTATACAGAGAGAGATCAGCGATCAATTGTGAATCGGCTTCATACGAGGACATTAATCAAATAACATAATAAGAAAACGGTCATTCACATGTGATTTTACAATAATACAAGTATAAAACTCACATGTGATTCATACAACTTTTGCCATGACCTGAGGTCACACACTACTTCGCCGACACCCTTGGATTAACTGTTAATGTTAATTTAATACGTAATTTGACCATTTTCATGTTTCTTTATTTGGTTATTCGTTTGAATTTCTAAGACCGATGATGACTTGTAATTCTTTTGGGATGAAAAAATTTAAAGTGGGCCAAAGGGCCTATGCAATTCACTATACTGATATGGGTAATGGGCTTATGATACAATTCATTAAAGGTGTTTAAATCATTTTCTATTTATTATTGTCATTCTTTGAGTTTCATAGGGATTTATAATCCCATTGACAAATAAACCTTTTCAAGTGATTCTTTGAGCTTCATAGGGATTATATATTTATAATCCCATTGACAAATAAACCTTTTCAAGAGATATAATAAATATATTTAGGGTTGTTTATCAAATGTTACTTAAGTAAACGCTTACAAAGTCACATTATCTTACCAGATGAATATGACAAGAAACAAAAATCTTACCCGGTAAGAGCAAAGGGAATGACCGATAGACTTACCTGGTAAGTGATGACGATGACTCTTGCCACGGTTAGCGCTTACCGGATAGATTATTACATACAATGTCGTTTTGGTGGACTCAAATCTTACTCAGTAAGTAAAAGATAGTGTTCAATTTTATCGATAAGCACTTACTGGGTAAATGTTTAGGTAAACGACCCCTTAGTAAATAATCTTGATAATCAAATATTCGATTAATAGAAGATAATTAAATTACAAAAGAAGGAAAAAAGTGTATTGATATTTCTTGCGATTTTGTGGTTTGTTAATACAAAAATTCTTATAAACCGTTTTTTATGCATAAAGTACTGTTTATAAATGCATGTTACTTAAAACTCAAGATTACACGTACATTGTGCGTAAATACAACCTATTAAAGCTCCATATCTAAATTCGTATAACAAACTGCAGATAAACATAATCAAATACAGGATAAACATCTCATTTTAAATATAAAAATTCTAAAATATGATTATGATAATCATTAAGTTCTAACAAAATACTTAATTATTATCTTTATAAAATGTTATATTATTAAACCAAAAATAAATTATTTCATTATTAAACTTAAATTAAATTATAATAAATTTTTTTTAAAGAAATTACATAAAAAATGAAAACTTTTAAATAGTTGATTTGATATTATCATTCATATATATATATATATATATATATATTTTAAATTTTTTATGATATCTTCAAATTTTATATTTTATTCAAAAATAAAATCATTATTGTTTTCTTAAAAACACGTAAAATCATATTATAACATAGACATAGACAAATAATAAAATATAACATTAAAATCGAAATATATCTTGCAGCATTGTGCGAGTACCCTACTAATATATGATAATAATTCCACTATTTTTATATTTTTCCTTGTCACATGCTAACACAAAAGCATATCGATATATCTCAATTTTAAAGTAGAAAACTCGAATCATCATTGCTTTCTATTTTGTTTTGGTCTCCATCTCTCAATTTTATTGTAACGCCCCCAGAACCCCGTAGCATGATATTGTCCGCTTTGACTAACCTGCCCGCTCAACCACAAAGCAGTAGTCGCACGGTTTTGTTTCTGGCAGCCGCACAACGCAAGCCCCAAAACCGGTCATGCTAGGATGAGGTATCCACACCCTTATAAGGAGTGCTTAGTTCTCCTCACCAACCGATGTGGGACGGGTTGTTACATTTATGTTTATGATGTTGAATTCCTCATCGGTCAACATACAATTTTTTTTTATTAAGCTGGATATCCAATCCGCTATGCGAGCTGATTAATTCCAGGATGACCACCTGCTTTGTAAGTAGCCCGGAGTTATCGCATTTGAACATCCATGACCACAAGGGGAATTTTGTTTCTTTTTGGATTTGAACCTATGACTTCCAGGCACTTTTGACCTTTGAAACCAAACTCAAACCAATCAGGCACCACCATTATGGTTACAAACATACAAATTTCCTATTAGTTAATGTGGATGATTGACTAGAGATTTGAAAATTTTCGTATTAGTAATTTCATCGGATACTTTAAATGTACTTATATAAAACCTTTAGTTGGTTATCAATTTGTTTTATAAAGTTCATATGTGTGAAAATTCGATAATAAGTTGTAATCTTGAATTTGTAAAGATTTAAGAAACTAAGATCAAGATTATATATATATATATATAGAGAGAGAGAGAGAGAGAGAGAGAGAGAGAGAGGACCTTAAGAGAGACAATGGGAGGAGGAGGCTTAGTAATGAGATAGAAGAAAAGCAATGCAACTCCAAAGCTAACCATCACTCTTAAGCTTATTTGAAACCATATCCAAGCACATGAATCAGACTCTGAAAACGACACAAGATCCCACATCCTCTTCCCAAAACCCTTCTCCTCTTCTTCTTCTTCTTCCTCACTCTCCGCCCCATCTCCACCGCCGCCACCACCACGATGCACATTCTCATTGTCAACAAAATCACAACCCTTTTCACCCATTTTCACCACCACCCTACCAACAGAACTACTGTCATGATGATCGGGGCTTTCGTGAGGAGCATAGGGATTAATCTTTTTATCATGCAAGAAGGAGTTGGTGGATCCACGAGAAGAAGAGTAATGAGAGAGAGTGAGGCGGCGTTGGGTGGCTGGGGAGTGGAATGAGACAGCATCTTGGTGGCCGTGGGAGACGGTGGTGGTGGGGCTTTGGACGAAGTAAAGAGCAGCATATGGGTATGATCGGAAAAGTGCTTCTTCCTCCGATGAATCCATTATGGGGTTCGTCATCGAGAGAGAGAGAGAGATATGATTATAACCGGAGTGAGTGTATGGAGTTGTGGGTTTTTTGGGGGTTTTAAACTGGCACAAACGGGGGAAAAGGAATTGACTAATAATATATTTTTATATTATTTTGGTAAATATATTTATTTTACAACATTTTCCAAAAGTTCTAAAAGTTTGAAGTTACATTATACAGGTTTTTCTTAATCATTTTTTTTTAGAAAAAAACTAACTTTTTATTTTGCCTTATTTATACTATATTGTAAAGTATTTGACAAAAACTTTTAAATTTTTTTTTTATGTATGAAGTATTGTTTATTGATACATATTTACTTAAAATTCAAGATTACAAATAAATTGTGCATAGGTACAACTTATCAAAGTTTCATGTTTGAATTCGTATAACTAATTGCAGATAAATATAGTCAAATACAAGATAAACATTTCCTTTTAAATATAAAAAATCTAAAATATAATTAAGATAATCATTGAGTTCTAACAAAATACTTAATTATTATCCTTATAAAAAATTATATTATTAAATAAAAAATAAATTACTTCGTTATTAGATCCAATTGAATTAAAGAATTTACACAAAAAATAAGAACTTTAAAATAGTTAATTTGATATTAATATTGATATATTTATTTTTGAAATTTTATTATATCTTCAAATTTATATTTTATTCAAAAATAAAAACAATATCATTTTTTCAAAACCACATAAAAACCGTATTAATAACATCTATATAGAAGAAATAAAACGAAACATTAAAATCAAGATATACCTCGCTGCATTGCGCGAGTATCCTTCTAGTCTAATATAACACTTTTCTTTTAAAAAAAGACCCATCCATCCATTTATTTTAAACTAATAGTTGTTTACATATGGATCGTTTAAAGTACGGATATCTATAAAGTCAATCGATCTAATTGAAAGTGATTGATCATAATTGGATCGAATCGATTGAAAATTTCAATATCCAATTTGTATTGGTCGGTTTTTGAAAGGCAGCCCAGAACCGAACTAGCCGAACTGACCAACATCCAATTACCCATCTAATTAAACATTTGATTATCATCCACTTATCCATCAAACTATCATCCACTTAATTTGTTTTCAATTTTCTTAAATCTGAATTTGGTTGGTGTTGGTGTTTGAAATTTTTAGTCTCACTTGTGTTGGTTTTAACACATATTAAAAATGATTAATCAATTTGTTTCATTGTTGTAAAATTGGATTAAATTAACACATAGAATGTATTAGATTTGATCTTATCATCCACTGGATGTTGGACGGATCCAATCCGATCAAATGGATATTCAATAAGAATATCCGAGTGATATCCAATCTAATCCAATGAGAAATCTAACAAGAATATCCAATGGATGGAAACGAACCGATCTAATAATCCATTGGATTTGATTGAATCAGGTATCAAATGCTAATCGGATCGAGTCGGTTGACAAAATCCAACACCCAATGAATGATTGGGTCGGTACGGTTCCACTCACATCCAATGGATGTCAACCAATGAACAATCTTAGTTCAAAGGAAAAGCGTAAAAAATATAACGAGGAAACTTTTCTTGATAACTAACTTTATAATTATAGGGACGTTACATTTGAATATGGACCATTTATGAGTTAGATCTAACAATTGATGGAAGGTTTCTTGTTCTTTTGTTTTGGGGGGGATTCTTTCCTAAACCTTCTATATCGATATTAATAACATGTAAATATATAGTTGTAATATCTCTCAACAAGATTGAGAATTCTTCTTGATCAAAATCAGTTTCACTAATATATTATAGTAGTTGTTAATGAGTAAATAAGTTTGGATAATAGCCTTATTTAAGAAGGAACTGTTGTATCTTATTAAGCATTGCCGGCTAGCATTAAACAAGAACACTCGATGCAACCCCTTCCCATTGTCGGGAACACGCACAATCAATCCACCTCCATTCCTCCTTCTTTTTCTCATTTGATTTCCATAACGAATCTCTCGATCCTATCTAGCTCTTAGCCAAGAAACAATCCTATTCCCACCTCCAAACAAGGATGTTTGATTCATGGATTTTGAAGGAATCCCTATTCCATTGAATTACAAAAAAGAAAGAACACATCATTCCTTGGCATAAGTGAAGGAATTGAGTGTACCATCTATTTGCATCGAATTTAACCAACACCACCATTGTTGCCCCAACAATGAATATGCTACAACTGTTACCGCCATACCCCTACCCCTAACCCCCCCCCCCCAACCAAAACACCACTTGTAGCCATCACAATTGCCACTCATTGTAACACTCGAAAAATCTTAGAAATGTTGTGTTTTAAAAGATTCGGGAACCTCCTAAATTTTCTTTTAAAGTTGGTTTTAGGGATCGTTTGTTGTAAGAAGAAACCTTGGTTTGTTTGGGGAAAGTTTGGGGGTCACCTGTGGGGCTAGAGGCTGTTTGGAGTAGCCGGGCGCCATTACAAGCGACTAAACTCGTGCTAAAGGTGCCTAATCCTTTGTTTGCCCATTGGTCGAAGAAACAGTGAAGAAATTGGGTGGGAAGCGATTTAAGCCGCATGAAACCCGCCCGCATGGATTGTATGACCAGGGCCGGATGGCTTGCGGTACGCCCAAACCCGCACTAAACCCTCGTCGTCCACCTAGAGTCATCAACACCGGTGACCAACACCCCCTTTTCCCATGGTTTCTTTCTATTTCTTCTTTTTACTCTCTAAACCCTCTCGTCTCTTCCTTTCTCTCGTTGGGTCCAATTTTGGGTTACTCTTGGCAACATTTTGGAGCTTTTAGAGGAAGATCTAACCTAAGGGTTTCAAGATATTTGGTTGGGATCTTCATGTTCTTGATAATGTAAGATTTTTGGGGAGTATTACAATAATTTGGGTTTTGTAATGGATCTGATTTTGGGGTTGCTTTTGGTGCATTTCTATGTTGGTTGTGACCAAGATAAAGTTTCTAGTGACGGATAATAATTTTTTTTTACCTATACATCATCATATTTAACATCCTAATTTTTACCCTCTCATAGTCTCATCTATTCCCTTCTCATCTACTTTTACAATTATTACCAACTTCTTTTTTCATCTTGATCTCCATACCTTTTTTTAGTATTTAGAACACAAAACATAACAATTTTAAAACATCATCTCAATCCGCATTAGGATACAAAAGTTATGAATGGTTACGATTACAAACATGTTATGACCATCCGTGCTTCCCAATTCTATTAGCACGTAGATCTTGACAAAATAAGTAACTTAAAAGAATAATCTCAACCAGAGTTACAAATGAAGAGTTATGTGGCCCCTGACGTTTACTACAAAAAAAAGGTTACAGAATATTTACTACCACATATAAAAAGATTACGAAGATCTAGATGACTTAACTTTTCCTAAATGATAGTAAAAAATATTTGATAACCTTTTTTCGTAGTAAATTTCAGGGTGCAAAATGCTAGGAAGTGACGCTTGACTCGTAACTTGGATTAAAGATAATTTTTTAAGTTGCATTTTTAAGATCTACGAGCTATTAATTTACTCTAACCATTTTGTCCTTGACACACACACCCTTTTGGGGTGGGGCAAAGGCCCCCAATGAAACCAAAATCTTAAGAAAAAATTAAAAATTCTCCCTCAAACATCTCCTTTATTTACCTCATGGCCCCCATCTTTTTATGGCTTTATGCATGTGATTGTCCTCATTTTCAAGAGTCTCTCACGATCTATGAGCTTAACCAAATACCAAAAACGAGTATTTTGTTCTCTTAAATTTCACAACTATGTTGTTATATTTTTTCATGGTCTTTTAGGTGTTTTTGTGTTTTCTTTTTATCGGATGTTATCGTTGAAACCTTCTCCGAATATATGTTTGTTTTTTTCCTTAATAAATTTAGTGTTTTGTTTGTTCTGTTATTAATTAAGTGGTTTTTTGCTTAATTTTTTTGGCAATAAGTAGAAATAGTTAAATTCGATAGGACATCATGCGTCTATTTTACATATTAAGTCATTTTATTGTAGACAAAAGAAAACAATACTTATACTTATAGAGAGGGGTGGATATATATATAACAACTGGTCTAAGACAACTATGCACATGAATATACATCGTTCGGTGCAATACACTTGGTCCAAATGTGATATATGCTTGTACAACACATGGTGACGGTTCAATTATATCCATAGTACGGGTTACAATTACTTTGAGGACCGGAATTCTCGTGACGATTAGATTTTTAAGTCAACCATTTAACGGACCGTTATATATCTGTTTTGCTCTTATATGATGTTCTTGAGGTGGAACAACTTAAGTTGGGTTCCCGTACGTGACAAGCCTTTTTGCACAAACTATAAATATGAATATAGTGTATTAATTTTTTTAGAAGAATATAGATTAAAAAGAGATCCTCATTACTAGAAAGAACAATATTACCGACCAAATTTACCAATGGAAGAAACCCGTCAAAGATAGCTATTGCCCGGCCACTTAGAATTTTCTGGAATGTCAGTGATGTTAACATTTACCGACGGATAACCCATGGCAACAAAATTTATTAATTATTAAGTGTTATTTAATTAGTTATTAATATATCTATCCGTAATCCATAACTAATTATCGAAAGAGTTTTGATGGATTTGAAGATCATCAATCTAAAAAAAAAATTAAATTAAATTATTCGTTAGTAAATAGCGATGACAATCGAACTATAATGTAATTTACTATTTTTTTTTTCAAGACTAAAAATAAAAAATGAATAACATATATATTAAAATAAGTTAGCTAGGCCTAGCGAGGTAAGGTAGCCAAGCAATTGATTGCTATGAATTGATGTATGATAATATAATATTATTATATTTAAGTAAATAAATTTTGCTTTACACCGAAATGTTTTGCTTTCAAGGGCCAATGACATGATGCCAAAAGCAACCATGCTATTATTATTACTATTATATATATATATATATATATATATATATTGTATACATATTTGAGATCATGTGAGATTACCTTTTTTTTGTG